CAAAGATTATCATGTCAATAAAGTTGCCCATTACACTGGAAATAAAATTGACATCTGGATCTACAATGTTTCACATTAATTATCTTAGGACATAAAGTTGATATCAGGATCGACGAGATGATAAACAAAGACATTTAATTGACATTGGATTCGTAATCAAATTTTAGCCAAAATTTTACACTATTACACCATTTTGCCAAATCCAAAATGAGTTTAAACAAGCAACCTTAACTACTTTTCTTCAATAGGATCTCTTTGCTGACAAAATGGACCTCATACTTAAGACTGACCCAAATTTTAAAAACTGCACAATACAGGATTTTTGTATTTCTCAGAATGCTCTTAATACTGCTTGGAATTTCTTCACTAATACTGTCTTAACATCCGCCAAAAAACACTTACCCAAACAAACAACAACTTCCCATCATAATTCTTTATTCATGTGCTCAAACTCTTCTATTCACAAACAAATAAATAAGTTATATAAAATTTACTACAAATTAAAAAAAGTCTTTCTCCAACCATATTTTTTAACCTCTCCTTTTCCAATTTCACTTGATAAACATAAAATTTTGCTAATAATAGCTTCTCAAAATTTCATTTCTACATCTTCAATTGATGACCATTTCTCATAGTTGCCTACTGAATTATTTACACAAACTAAAAATAGATATCATCAAACCTATGTAAGCTAAATAACATATTGTTTCTCAGACTGAAAACAATAAAAGAATTTGAGTTTATTAAACAAAGGAATGAGAAGTTTAAAAACTATCATACTAAAATGATAGATTCATGTCTTGAAAGAAATAGAAAAGCCATTATTCTTGATAAAGTAATGATCGATACAGACACTCCATCACAATACCTCGCACTTGTTCCAGATGATATCAAAGTTCATACCGCAATACATTTCCAAACCATCACCGATTCTACAAATAGAATTGTCACAGATTAACACTCACACAATTTTAACCCAAATTGGAATGAATGGCATTGCTACTATGAATCTATTAATACTATTTGTAACGATTTTTATAACGGAATCATGGACATCCTTATATATGATGAATGGTTGTTTATACTAAAACATCTGCCTGATCATAAAGCTCCTGACCCTTCTCAAATACCTAATGAAATGTTGAAAAAACTAGACCCAAGAATGAATAAATTTTTATACACTATTATCTGTCTTTTTTGTTAGTTCGCAACACCTACACAATAGAATTATGCATATGTGTACCCAATTCCAAAACCTAAAGCTTGAAATTGCAATTTAGATAATACATGTCCTATTACGCTCCTATACACTATCAGAAAAGCATTTGTTAAGATTCTAAATCAAAGACTACAGGTAAAGATGAGGGACGAAACTCAAAAAAGTTAATAAACAGCTGAAACTATATTAAAATATAGTGAGGGATACAACGAAACTCTGAAATCTAAAATTAGCCGAAACTATATTAAAAACATAGTAAGGAATATGACGAAATTATTTTGAAGGAGTTTTGGCTGGCATCTTTAACTACAGGACGTATTCATTAAACATAACATACTCAAAGGCCTTAATTTTGCAAGTTTACCACATTAATCAATGATGGAACCATTATACATTATCAACAATATTCTTGAATTCTATTGCCTAAATAATAAAATGAACAATTCTGGTCGTTCTAATTTATACTGCTCTTTCAAAATATGTCAAAAGCCTATGATAAAGTCAATATTTTCATATTAGAAAGCAATGAAAAGATTAAAAATCCCCTTACTCTTCACCAATGTCATCACTAATCTCTTTTTAAACAGAAAAAAACTCCATTTTTACAGCATATGGCAACACTGTTTCTTATGATGTCATTGTTAGAATTGATCAAGAAGAAGTTATCTCTCCTCTACTTTGAACAATTTATTATGATCCCCTTCTATCACGAATTAGACAATTTTCTTTAGAATATAAAATGTCAGTATCATAGAAACCAGACATTATCAAAACAGAGACTTCAGAAATTTCTGCACATATTCCTAACTTAGCATATATGGACGACACAATTTGGGTTACTGATAATTTAGCTAATCTGACCGCTATCTTTAATATTATTTATCATTTTTTGATCTCAACTCAATGAAAGTTAATCATGATAAGTCCTTTATCTTAACAACTGAGGCAACTGATGTGAACATCTTAATATATAGTGAATTTTTAAACTGACCTATTTCCTTTCCAACAAAAAACCATCTGAATTAACTAGATATTTAGGTGTATGGATTTCTGCAAAATATAACAAAACCTTTATTAAACAACAAATTCAAAGTGAAATAGCAGAGTTTATTTTAAAACTAAAATATAAGCCATTGATAGATAAACAATTGAAATATATCTTTAATATGGTCTTAATTCCCAGGATTGAATATCAGTCACAATTAGTTGTTTTATCACCTAAAGAATGCAATGCTCTTTTACCAAAGTTAGGATTTTCCTCAAACACAAACTTAAATTTCTAAAGTCAATACCTAATAGCATATTAATCAGCAAACTGACAAATTGTTTCAATGATTTTGCAGCAAATATGATACACTCAAAACTATAACATTTTGCCAATATGATAAATGGTGACCCATCTCTATCGCTTCTTATGAAGACCACTGAAATCAAATTCAAGAATTTTTCTGACTTTATGATAACCCTTTGATTTGTTAGCCTATTTCTTTGAACAAGTTTTGTCATGACAACTTTCTTGACAATGTAATTTCCTTTTATTTACAATTGAATTTGTTATTTATTTTCAAATATGTCAGCAAATAACTAAATTTAGAATCAAAGGGGGTAAAACCCCACTTCAAAACTTTATTCCTTGGAAAAAAAAAGTGGTTAAATTCATTATGACACAAATCAATATTATTTCTTGATCAATTAATTTGTGAAGGTAATTTTCTTATAAATTTCAAAGACATCAGTACTCATATTAACAATGATCACCACACTGTCATCCTAAATAGTTCTCTCATTTAGAAAAGACTATCGTATTAAATCCTGTGTAATCAAATAGAATCAAAGACCAATATATTATTAGTCCATTTGTTCCTGCTGGTTTTAAAACTTCCTCTTCCATGAATTCTTCTAAGGTAATGGATTGGGTTGCTCTTTGGACACCACTTGAGTCAAACTTCTATAATCTACCTTATCCAGGACAGACTATTATTGGAAAATCTTATAAATCCCCACTTTTTTCAGACAAAATTCTATTTCAACACTTCATTCTGACTAACTTAACAGCTGATCTATGATCTTCATCAAAAAACAAAATACTTTTGTAGCTTGTACTGGTTGTACTTTTCACGAGAAAACACAATGTGTCAGACTTCCTGTTACTACTCAATGGCTTTTTTGTGAAAATTAGATTGACATTGACTAGTGTTTCGTACGGATCAGATCAGATCAGATTTGGGCAAAATCTGATTCGATCTGAATCTGAAAAATCCAAATCTGATTCAATCTGAATTCGACAAATTTGAATCTGAATCCGTATCTAAATCTGACAAATCTGAATCTGAATCTGAATCCGTATCCGTATCTGTATCTGACGGATCAAAAAAATTTTTAACAAAAATCCGCCTTCGACGTTCGGAATGGCGTTTTAATGTTAAAAAACAACAATTTTGTTGTTTTTTTAACAAAAATCTGCTTTTGATGTTCAGAACGGCGTTTTAATGTTAAAAAAACAACAATTTTGTTGTTGTTTTTAACAAAAATCTGCCTCTGACGTTCGGAATGGCGTTTTAATGTTAAAAATAACAATTTTGTTAGTTTTTTAACAAAAATTCGCCTCTGACGTTCGGAACGGCGTTTTAATATTAAAAAAAACAACAATTGTGTTTTTTTAACAAAAATCTGCGTCCGACTTTCGGGGCGGCATTTTATTATTAAAATTTAATTTTTTTAATAATAAATGCCTTGTCTGACTTTTGGGATGGCATTTTATTATAAAAATTAATTTTTTTTATTAATAAATGCCGCATCCAACTTTTGGGGCGGCATTTTATTATTAAACATTAATTTTTTAATAATAAATGCTGCCTCCGACTTTCGGGACGGCATTTTGTTATTAAAAATTAATAAAAATTAATTTTTTAATAATAAATGTCATGTCCAACTTTTGGGCGGCATTTTATTATTAAAAATAAAAATTTTTTAATAATAAATGCCGCCTCTGACTTTCTAAATGGCATTTTGTTATAAAAATTAATGAAAAATTAATTTTTTATTAATAAATTCTGCCTCCGACTTTTGGGGTGACATTTTAATATTAAAAATTAATAAAAATGAATTTTTTAATAATAAATGCCGCGTCCGACTTCAGGGTGGCATTTTTATTTCAAATCCAACAAATTGGAACTGAATCCAAATCCAAATCTGATGGATCGAATCTGAATCCAAATCTGAATCCATCGGATTAAATCGGATTTTTTGCGAAACACTAACATTGACTTATCTCAACTCATTCAAACTAACTATTTCACCTCAGTCAACTCAGAAAGACTTTACATTTTAAAAAGAAATATCAAAACTGTATCTGATCAAGCTACACAAGGATATCTAAATATGAGACTGGTCATTGTACCCAATAATCTTTTAATCAGTAATAGTTCCCATTTTGTTCTATTGAATCTTTAATATCTTTACCTGCAACTTTTATACTCTTAAATTAATTCAAATTTGTTCTAAAAGATGAACACTTACTTACTTTTTATACTGATGGTTCTCATAAATTTATTCCTCACTTTACTTTTCCTAGTTTCCATTTAAGTTCAGCTTTTCTTCTTGTTCATGATATTTTTAACATAGAATTTACTACTGCCATTCCTTGTTTTTGGGCTAACTTTACTAATGCTGAAATTTTTGTTTTACTTCTAGTTTTACTTATCTACCTCTCTGATTCTAAGATTAACGTTTGTACAGATAGTAGTTTATCACTTATTTACTCATACAACAAAGTCAGAAAACAGAATGTCTTTAATTATCTTTCTTTAATATTTAAAAATCCTTTAATATGTATTGGTCCTTTATATTCAAACTATTAAAAGAACGAAATATTTTCCTAATCTTAATCAAAATAGCTGCACATTTTGATAATTCTTATAATAATAAGGTCAATCTCCTCGCCAAATATTTTCTCCTCTACTCCTCTATTCCTATCAACTTCATACAAATACCTTATTTTTCCTATATTCTGACTTTCAACAACATGCCTATTCTCACTACACTACGGCTTTTCCTAAAAGATTTCACTAATACCAAACATTTCATCAATTTTTACTTTTTAAAAAGAAATCTTAAATATAGTTTTTTACACATAAACTGATCTCTGACCTTTGAATTTATCAAACTTGACACTCCTACTGAAATATCATTTAAAGAATCCTGAGCATACTGTAGAAGACTCAAGTTCCTCTTTGAACAGATTTCAACAATTGAATTCTTAAAAGCAACACAATTTAAACTCTACAATTTCTTATAGAAATGCTACTGTTGTCTCACCGATGATGAAAATTTCAATCATATATGGACTTACATTAAGATTAAAACAGAAATAAAAGATATTATCACTGAAGCTTTAAAATTACTCAAACAATAAATCTTCATCCAAACTTCTAAACTTGTTTACCCCAAGACATTTCTTCACTTTTTCTTCTCTCACATCCATATTGGTCTCTTAGAGCAGACCCATATAATTTTATATTTATAGATTTTATCAAAAGCATTGTTCCTACTACTCTTCTTAAATTACTCGACTTCTTCACAAAATCCTCATTACTTACATCTAAAATTCTATCCCCTTTTTACAACTATATTTTGATCAAACTTATGAAATTATTTGGAAAACCAGATGCGACGCTACTATAACTAAATAACGATCTCTTAATATCTCGCAATATAGTAAAAAACTTAATTATAGTTTG